TTGTTTTGAGTTCCATATGTTCTTCAATTGTAGGGATGCGGCCCTTGCTTTGTCAATCCTTGCCTTCATGTCTGCATCTGATCCTCCTTGTTCATCGATTATGCTTCCCAGGTATGTGAAGGATTCTACACCCTCCAGAGTTTCCCCATCACGAGTGATTGTAATTGAGGACCTTGGTTTTCCCCTTGTGTATGTTGAGGCCTACTGATGCAGAGACTGCTGCTACACTGGTTGTCTTTATCTGCATTTGTTCATGTGTATGCGATAGGAGGGCTAGGTCATCTGCGAAGTCCAAATCGTCTAATTGATTCTGAGTTGTCCATTGTATTCCGTGTTTTCCCTCAGATGTCGATGTCTTCATAATCCAGTCGACCACCAGAAGAAAGAGGAAGGGAGAGAGTAGAAAGCCTTGTCTGACTCCGGTCCTTACTTGGAATGCATCTCTCAGCTGTCCTCCATGCACGACCTTGCACTGTAGTTCGTCATATGAGTTCCGGATAATATTGACAGTCTTCTAAGGAACACCATAGTGTCGAAGAAGTTTCCATAACGTCCTCCTATCCACACTGTCAAATGCCTTTTCATAATCAATAAAGTTGATGTACAGTGACGAGTTCCACTCAATTGATTGTTTGACGATTATCCGTAGTGTCGCAATTTGGTCTATGCACGACCGATACTTACGGAATCCAGCTTGTTGATCTCGAAGTTTGGCATCTACTGCATTTTTCATCCGGTTCAGTAACACTCTGTTAAGAACTTTTCCTGGTACTGACAGTAGTGTAATGCCTCTGTAGTTTCCACATTTGCTCAGATCTCCTTTCTTTGTGATCTTGATGAGGTGTCCTTCTTTCCAGTCCATCGGCACTTGTTCCTCCTCTCAAATCTTTTTTATTAGAAGGTGAAACATGTTTGCAGTTACTTCGATGTCTGACTTCAGTGCTTCAGCTGGTATATTGTCGGGTCCTGCTGCTTTCCCGCTCTTGATCTGTCTTATGGCCATTCTGATTTCTTCCGTCGTTGGTGGATTGACATCTATAGGAAGATCTGTGTGTGCTGCTTCGATGTTCGGTGGATTCATTGGAGCCAGCCTATTCAGGAATTCCTCAAAGTACTCTACTCATTTGTTTCGCTGTTGTTGAGTTTCAGTGATTGGCCTGCCTTCTTTGTCCTTGACCGGTCTCTCTGGTTTGCTATATTTCCCTGCTAGTTTCTTCGTTGTATCGCAAAGCTGTTTCATATGTCCTTCTCTTGCAGCTTTGTACGCTGTCGTTGCTAGTTCTTCCACGTATTTTTGCTTGTCGGCTCTAATGCTCTCCTTCACTTGCTTGTTCGCTTCTATGTGCTCAGCTTGTGTTTTGACTTTCTCTGCTCGTGTTTGGCTGTTGTTAATTGCTTTCTCCTTGTTCTTCCTTTCTTTGATCCTGTCCAGTATTTCTATAGAGATATATTCCTTGTGATGATGCTTTTCGAGGCCCAGAACCTATTGACACGTTGGAGTTAATGCTTCTTTGATACTTTTCCAGTTGTCCTCCATAGTAGTTTCCTCTTCCTACAGTAGATCCTGTAAGACTTGAAACCTGTTGTTGAGAGCTATCTTGAATGTATTGAGTTTGTCAGTATCTCAAAGGAAGGTTGTATTGAAACTTTGTAGTGCTGTTTGTCCAGTTTTTCTTTAGCTTCAGTTTTAAATTGGCCACAACTAGGTGGTGATCTGAAGCTATATCAGCTCCTCTCCTGCTTATCACATCTTTCATTGTCCTTCGGAACTTTTTATTGATGCAAATATGATCTATCTGGTCCTCTGTGGTGTGGTCCGGTGAAATCCATGTAGCTTTGCGTATACTTTTGTGTGGAAATATTGTGCCGCCTATGACCAATTTGTTGAATGCACATAGATTTGCCAATCTTCCTTCATTTTCGTTGTGGAAATCAGTAGCACACACCATAATATTAGTTGAAAATTAACCACTCGTATATCAGGAATTTACAACTTTAATCTACTTAATAAGCATTACTTTTACAAACGATCATATTTGAAATTTATGTCTACTGCATAAATAACAATGAAGTATACCATATGTTTTAATTTCGTTTAAATTGAGTTTCAATTTCAATGAAAACTTCTATGTATATGTACGTATATCATCAGAAATTTATTCCTTCCAAAAAGATTTAGAATAAGCATAACTATTCCAGAGAAAAAAACTATTTTATTCAATGAATACAAGATTTCTTAATGCATATTTCTATAAACAATCGGAAGATAAACATAACTTTAGTAATAAATGGTGGAGTATGGAAGTTTCAAAAAGTTTTATTAAAGTAACAAATGATATTATAATCATAAGATCTGGATTGTTTCAGTGTTCCATCAGTAACCGACTATTCAAACAATAATTGGCCGGATATCATCAGCAACAGCCTACTGTGGGAGAGAAAAAAGCATCTTCCAGCTGAAGAGGAAATTAGGAAGAGACGATGGAAATTTATAGGACATACATCACGCAAATAATCAAACTGAATCACGAGACAAGCCCGAATCCTGAAGGGAAGAGTAAAAGTGGTAAGCCGAAGAACATACTATGTCGGGAAATGGAATCAGATATGAGAAGGATGAATAACAACTGGAAAGGATTGCCCAGGACAGGGTTGGATGGAGAATGCTGGTGAGTGGCCTATGCTCCTTCACAAGGGGTAACAGGCGTAAGTAATTCAAACAATAAAAGAAGTATAAAGGAAAAACGAAACAATTTACTGTACAAACGTTTTTTTGGAAATAATGGTCAGTTTAATGAGTTGATCGGTAAACCAATTAGTTTATCATAATTTAAATATCCAACTTATTAGAACATAATATTCATAACGTGCAAAATTAGCGGGAATAATACATTAATTGAATATTTCATTTGATAACTTTAAAATCCATTGACCTTGTTGGTGATAATGATGGTATGGGATAGAATGAAAAGCTTCAGAATTGTTTGTCATTCGAAATACGAACAACCAAAATAAAGTTAACTTTATACGTATTAAGAGTTCAGTACTATCCAATATTATATTTGTCTGTTTTATGATGTGATCACTACTCTAGGTAGCTCGACATTGAAATAGCATTTTTACTGTTGTGATTAGAGGAAATTAGTGAGAAGGCTGATATGTGTAAACCCATTTACCAAGTACAGATTCATATACTTGGTTTCAAACCACACACTGTATGAAATTTATTAATACTACACGGTTGTCCAAACCATTAAGACACTGGTCAGTTGTTACTTGTGAGCAAGGCAGTATCTCCAAACTTGAAGGGAATGATATTATATGAAATGCTAATCCGCACCATTTAGTAACACAGTTAGAAATGTTATCGATATACCAACTTTTGTTATAAATGCAGAGGAATTCGAATTTACATGAAAATCATATTGAATGATACCGTTGATTTATGGACTGAATATTTTAACCACTGAAAGTAAGATCCAACCGACAGATCACATTGACACAGTATATATTTTTCTGTACCTATACTTATTCGATTGCAGGAAAAACAATAGCAGACTGAAAAATTTCTCAACCTAGTATGGGACTCCTGAATTGAGGACCTATGACCCTGACAGCAATCAAACATAGGATATTAAGTTGTCGTTCAGTGGTACATACTTCCAACTTTGGTTAATTAGCGGCATAGCGAAACTTTTATCTAACGCCATTGATAACGACTATTTCGATCCTGACAAGACGGAACTCCACTTCCAGTCCATCCTGGCTTTCAATGGTATGCCAACTGACGTAGGTTCGTGACGCATATTACTTCCAAACTAAACCAGTCACATAAACCAATCCAGGAGTACTGATAGGTATGACTTTCCAGACTCACCTAATTCGCTGCAAAAAAGTGGATCAATGGTTATAAATGTACAACAATAAAACCCTCTTAATACAATGAGTTTGTAGGTGTCATTACCAAGGTTTGATTTGATAATTTCGAATAAATTGAGCATTGGGTTGATTGTTATAAATAAAAATAATATATTTGTAATATCCCAATGAGTAGAAAATTGGATTTTTTCTGACGTTTCGTGGCTTAGTGTAAGTCACTTCTTCAGAGAATAAATAACCAAATTTGGTTATTTATATTACAAATATATTATTTTTATTTACCTCTTAATACAAGTTGGTCAAGAGGCTAACGTTTGATCTTATTACAGATTCAACTTGTTGATTTGTCCATTCCATCACATCATCGTTTAAATTCTTCTCTTACAGACAGCTACCACTTTGATGTGTTGATTAGGCTTACTGATTATGGTAACTAAGCTGATCCGTGCTAATCAGAATGCCGGAAATCTAATCGCTGTATGTTTGCTTGTTGTTGAACAAACACAACTAAAATTTAATTAGATGTATTATGTAGTAAAGAAAACAGTAACTTATAAATTACAAGCTCCAATTAGGAACTACCAATGTAACTATGATTTTAGACACAAAGAATGGAGGTCGTGAACACACACTTTGAAACCACTTTTGTTCTACATGGATGCCTTGTGGTAAAACTTAAAACAGAATCAAACAGCACTCAAAAATGAGTAGAACTGGAAATTTTAGATCTAAACATCTAATTGTATTATATCAAGAATGCCATTCTTGTGAGATTTAGCAATACCGACAGGCGAGTATGAATTTTTGTTGAAAACGCAATGAACACCATAAATTCAGCTAGTGAGCCAGTGGAAAATATATTCTACATTACGACTGAAAAATTACTGTGAAACTTGTGCATACCGTTTTGCGAAAAAAATCGTACTGGTGAACCGAGTTTCAATATTTAAAACGATCTAACTGGGACAAAATGATTTTAGTCCTGGAACAAAGTGTTACAATTAAGGTTATTGATAGTCAATCTGTAATATTTAACTGGTGTTAAATAAGAAGTCCTTTTTTAGTTTTGCTTTTTAATATTTTATACACAAAATATTACGCAACACTGTATCAACTATTCTCTACTTCTTGCGCCTCCGTTTACCAATTTTAAGCCCAGTGGTCCTTTTACCGCCTTCATTAACACCGTCATTATCGTTGTCAACAACTGGTATTTGATTCCACAAGTCTTCAAATTCTTTCTGTTCTGTCTTAGATATGCCGTAAGAACTTTCAACTTTTTCTTCTTCGTTTGAAACACCAGTATCATTGTCTTTCTTTAAAAAGTTCTCAATATTCGCAAAGCTTGCATTTCTACGGACAAGAAATGATGTTACAGGGACTTTAACATATATCTGTTGCACAATTAAAAAAAAACAGAATAAATATAATTGTAATAAAACGCGTTACACATAGCTTAATTCATAATGAAGTTTACACAGAGAACAAAGTAGAAATAAAGCTAAAATATATAGGTGATTACGGACTTTAAAAATATGTATTGTTATACATTATGAAGCCTTACTACACTGTTATAAACCATAAGTGCACTTAATATGTAAGGGACACTGTCGTATAATATTTACCTGTTCATAACTTTTTGCGTACTTCATTTCAAATAAATTATGTAATGATACCAGCTTATCTCAACTATCTGATGATCTAAAACAAACATCTGTAGTAAACAGTAATAATGATTTTTTTTAACTCTTCAAGACATTAACTTATTAGTGAATAAATCAAATATTGGTTCCCTTTTTCTCTTTTTTATCAAATAATGATTCAATAAGAATTTCCCTCAGAGAATCTTCACGAGAACCAGTTATCAGTTGGCACACGTAGTATTTATCAAAACAGCTTTGTGAAAATTCGTGTAGTTTAAAAATAAATTATCCCAGTATGATATCTAGTGAAGAACAAAAAATCACAGAATACTAAACGGCCTGCAAAACTCCTCACTTACTTACTTACGCATGTTGCCCCTCGTCTATGAGCATAAACCGCCCACCAGCATTCTCCACCCGGCTGTCCTCGGCAAGCCTTTCCCGCTCTTTCCAGCTGCTATTCATCATTTTGGTGTTTGCTTTCAATTCTTGATGCAGTGTGTTCCTTGTTATTCCTCTCCTCTGTTTCCCTTCAGGATTCCAAGTTAGGGCTTGCCTCGTGATGCAGTTTGATGGTTTCCACAATGTATGCCCAATCCACCTCCAGCGTCTTTTCCTGATTTTCTCTGAGCTGGAAACGAGTTTATTTTCTCCCATAGTAGACTGTTTCTGATGGTATCCGGCCAACGAACATTGAGTATCTTGCGTAGACAATTGTTTATAAATACTTGTACCTTCTTGATGATGGTTGTTGTAGTTCCGCAAGTTTCGGCTCCGTACAGTAGAACTGTCTTGATGTGCGTATTGAAGACTTTGACTTTGATATTGGTTGACAGTTGTTTAGAATTCAATATGTTCTCCAACTGTAGGAATGCTGACCTCGCTATGCTAATCTTCGCCTTTATGTCTGAATCAATCCTCCTTGTTCATAGATGGTTCTGACAAGGCACGGGAAAGTTTCCAAATCTTCCAGACCTTCTCCATCGAATGTGATTAAGTTGGTGTTTTCTGTGTTGCATTTGAGGATCTTGCTTCTTCCCTTGTGTACATTGAGGCCGACTGATGCAGAGACTGCTGAAACACTAGTTGTCTTGACCTGCATTTGTTCATGTGTATGGAACGGGACTAAATAATCTGCGAAGTCCAAATCCTGTCCATTGTATTCCTGCTGCTTTCCTGACCTTGATTCTTCTGATGGGCATGCAGATTTTTCCGATTGTTGTTGGAGTGACAGCTATAAGAATGTCTGTATCTGCTGCTTTGGTGTCCGGTGGATTCACTGGAGCAAGTTTCTTTGTTGCGTCATATAACCGTTTCATATTTCCTGCTATAGCAGCTTTTTCCGATGTCGTTGTTAGGTCTTTCACGTATTTCTGTTTATCAGCTCTAATGCTTTTCTTTATTTCCTTGTTTGCCTCTGTGTATTTAATTTGTGACTTGACTTTCTCCGTTTTTGTTCGACTGTTGTTAATTGTTATCTTGTTGTTCTTCCTTTCTTGAATCTTGTGCAGGGTTTCCATACAGAGTTTGTCAGTATTTTGAACGAAGGATGTACTGAAACTTGATAATGCTGTTTTCCCAGTTGTCCAGTCCTTCCTTAACATTACTTTAATCTTGCCAGCCACCAGGTTGTGATTCGAAGTTATGACAGCTCCTTTCCTGGTTCTCACGTCTTCTATTGACCTTCTGAATTTTTTACTGATCCAAATATGAGCGATCAGGTTCTATGTGCTGTGATCCAGTGAGATCCATGTAGCCGTATGCGTTTGTGGGGAATATAGTGCCAACTATAATTATTTCATAGAATGCACATAAATTTGCAAATCTGTCAATATTCTAGTTCGTTTCTCCTAGTCTTTCCCGTGATATTTTCAAACCAGGTGTTGCCCATTCCGAGGAGCGACAGTCCTGTACACAGCCGCGCTAGCGGTAGTTGATTACGATGTAACCCGTCTTAGTCCATCGCAACCTTAGTGTTTAGGTCTTCCATCAGGATGGTCAGGTCCTTTCCCGGTCACATCTCCACGATCGATTCCATCCTCTCATAAAACCGACTTTTAGTGTCGTCGTTGCAATCATCGGTGGGTGGATGACATTTGATAACATTCATTGTGATTCCCTTCTTCTTTGTCTTGAATGATGATTTGATTATTCTGGATCCATGAGATTTCCATTCAGCAAGTGCTTTTCGTGCTTCTTTGAACAGCATCAGAGTAAATCCCTTCGTGTGTGGAGCATTTGCGTCTTTATGACCAGAGTACAGCAACATCTCTCCCGAATCTAGTCTTTTCTGTCCAGCTTGGGTCCAATGTGTTTCACTTAATTCGAGCACCTCCAAGTTGTATCTCCTCATTTCCGTAGCTATTCGGTTAGTCCTCTGTCTCTCACATTGTCTGGGAATTCTATGTGCCTATATTAATTATTGTTGTAGTTGTTAGAAGGGGCATGGGTCTCGTGACTTTCGAAGAATCTTGGCATTCACTATGAAGTGTCATAATTTTTCTGAGAGAAGATCCTTCAAATTGGAGGGTAGAGTTTAAATGGTTTAACTTGTTTATCCTGGTTAGCATTTTCAGCAAGGTTGTTTTCCGCGTGATGTGATGATGTTGTCGACCTTATGCCCAACCCTTCTCCCAATTATTATTTTAAACGTTGACACAGACTAGCCCTGAAGTAATATTCTGCACTTAGAGGGAGAGAAGAGTATTTCAGACATACTTTTGCTACTGAAGATGATCAAAAGACTGTATTTTGTCCGAGTCCTTGCCAAGTAGAACTGTCATCGGTGTATTTTAAGTCAACAAGTGAATCTCCTGGTAAGAGATGTATTGCTGAAAACTAGATGATACAAGCGACTTTCTCAAAAGAATTTCTATTACAAAGCTAAATAAATATGAAGAACGTCAATAGTCCTAACGAACGCCATTTGAAGTTACCAATTCTGATAACAGTTGGTTATAAGTTGTAAGTTCAAGTAGATAACCTGTACAAGGTTAATGTACTTCTTAAGCCTTTGAACATCAGATACTAATATAGGACTCCTCGGACAAAACAGTTGAATGCTGCTTTCAGGTCAACGAATATAACTGTAGATAAACGTTGGAAAATATATATTCCAGAAGCTAGCAAAGGGCAGATTTTCAGTCGTCACATCTACGTCAAGGTCTGGAACCAACCCGGTTTCCCCCTTTACAAACCCGTTAAGTGCTGGATGACTACCAAAACAAATATTTTGGACACTACATTAATCAAACCGAATTATTTCCGGTCGCAACAAGAAAACTTGTTTTTTTTTATAAACTGGGAGGATTAATGATCGAGACTAGTCAGACTGTATTACGTTCAGTTCGCAAATCATAGCTTATATCTTAGTCAATCTAACTGCTGAAAGTGGACGACCATGCTTAAAGATAATCAACATTAATCCACAAGGACCCCTTACTTTTCCTTGCTTTACATTAGCTATAACCTCAACAAGAGTTTCAGGACTTCTTTTAATATCCTATTTACGTTGTTTTGGGACAGAATGTAACAGGAAGTCAGTTGCACTGTTGTCCTTCCCATCGGTCAGTGAATCAGCTTCCTTGGTTATTTGGTACATGAAAGTTGAAATATATCACTTCTCGTGCTCAATGAGATGCGAGATCTTGTATTTTATATTACCTGATCGAAACCCATTCAAACAAAACGTCTTCATTGGACCCCATTACCAAGTCAAAAAGACTAGTTTGTTTATCATATTTACGCAGAAAAATGAGATGACCACTGACTCTTAAGCTACAACACCATGGACTTAATTGTGATTGTTACTAAAATTTTCAGCAATCAAAATAAGAGAAAACCAGAAGAAATGAAATTTGTAATAAAACTTCTAGTATGTTTGGTATTACCTTTCCAAGACGCTTTCCAGTATCGCGATTATAAAGTCGCAAATACCGATCTAGCGAAGATGCGACAATGATTGGTTCACTATTTATAGCTGCTTCCATGAACGGAAATGTATTTTCTTCATCAGTTCCACTACATATTAAATGCGTTATACAACCTGAAGCTCCAGCAAGACATCGAACACCAGAAGGTGGGTCAGGTGCTCGAGATCCGTAGCTTCTAACTGGTATAACACCGGGGCCATCGGAGGAATTCAAGTTAGAATATTCTGGAGGGAGTCTTAAATCCAAAACAGATAATTCACCAACTGCGTTCCCAGCAACAACACGTAATCCTATGCCTGGAGAGTTATCGTAAGCTACTGCTTTTGTGATTGGTCTAGTAGTGGTCAAATCCGGAAGCACTGCACTGTGCTTTCCGGAACCAACATGGAGTTTTCCATGTTTGCGACTTGTACGCCATGCATGACGAGCAACAGGTCGACGTTGGCCACATCGAAGGTCGTATATGTCTAGCTAAATATGAGTAGTGAAACAGTAATATGTACAGAAGATCAAATTAAAACTAAATAACGAGTCATTGTTTCCACAAACTACTTTAAAGACGCGGAATAAATATATCAGGTTAGTTAAACTAGAATAATAACCCATTTTATTAGTTTTCACCAAAACTTATCAGATAAAGGATGTTACATTCAACTAAAGCGAGTAGACATACCAGTGTCACTTTATACTGTCAAATATTTTTTCAACACAAAGAGGAGATTTAGCAGGAGACAACCATGAATGAACAAGTAACCAATACGTAAGATAATGCGGCGATGTAGATGAAGATAAACAGAATGGACCTATAAGTGAATAGGATTGCTATTTTCCACTGTACTTTCCCGGTGTTAGGTGAACCTTACAAGTATTAAGAGTTGGGTTTTCGATTTAGGTTCATAACGTTCGAAACACCATTACATAAAAACACGGTAATCTCATTAAAATATCGGATTGGTAGAATCAATAGAAATATGGTTTTTAATAACTCCTTAAATCCTCCGAAAATCGGTTTCTCCTAACAGTAGTGACTGATGACTATTTTCTTCGCTTTATCTGAACAATAGCAAACCATTTCAACCCTAGACTCCCAAATGTTACGTCAATGTTACTTCAATGACTGATGCCAAAACTTGGGGTCAGTCATTGAAGTCACTAACTTCTAGTCTGAACCATGTTAGTAGATGCAAACTACTTGGTTGGGGTCCGCGTGACTATCGTAAGCAATGGTTGAAGACTCTGGGTAATATGGTTCAGAATCGATCACAACGGTGTCAGTGTATACACTTCATCTTCCCCTAAATCGTGAGATTAAAATTACTTTACACCTTTCTAATTCTTTCTTCCTGTATTGTCCTTATACATAATTTTTCTTTTATTTATTACTACCTTTGAGGTAACTACTCCTATGAATCCGGTGTTCATCTTGTTGTGCTAATGAGGTTTGGCGACTTGGGTCGATGTATGTAAGTGCCTAGTCCAATGTTGTAGCTGACTGACTAACTATAATCCATTCAACCCTTAAGTGAAATTGATATAAACCTACACCTAGAATACATGGTGAAAACCAACAGAGCTAAAGCATGGATGTAATACTAAGAATTTCGAGAAGACTTAAAGGGTGTTAATCTTCTCCCATGTGGAGTTGATACTTGAAAACCAGTGACTGGAACGATGTTAGGTTATGATTCTTTGTGTTCAAGAAATCAAGGTATATATTTAGATGTAGAGTATTTGAAACACAAACGACGTTTGAAAGCTTACCTCGCCATATCTCGAGGCAGTTAATATGAGCTTTCCATTAGACTTAGGTACAACGCTAATATCAGCAATCCATATGGGGACAGAAAGTTCCAGTACAGAAGAGCGGACGTTTTTAGCAGTGAAAATTGGCGAACCGTGGTTGTTTATATCCCACACTCGCAAGGCTAATTCTTTTCCCCCGGCAACAATTTGGTTTGCCGCTAATTTTGCTGAGCAAATTAATCCTGATGCATTTAGCTGAAACTACAAAAACCAGTGAGCAACCAAATCGGAAGACGTACTTTCTCTGACGTAAAGTCACGAGAAAAAACTCTGATGTCTCCTGATGAATGAGCTGAAAGGATAAATCTGACTTAATAATCAAAGACGCACACTAACTTGTCATTTGACTGCAGAGAAACAACAGAATCTTCTTGAGACTTTGAGAATTGCTCAACAGGAGTAACTGAGTGGCTCTTGGTGTCTAAGCTATAAAGCTTTCCAGAACGGCACCCGAAAAGAACCAATAAGCGCTAAATAACATACGGAAATTAACAAACTTCAGATTCAAATGAGCCACACCAGCACATTGTACTAATGTTTTCATTCTTAATTAGCGAAGCTGGAGATAAAGTGTGATTGCTAATCGAAATTTCTATGCCAGTAAACTTCATTTAGTGGTAATACCTTTTACAAAACCAGCCGACGAGCCAATAATTATGTCAAAACAACTCGTATCTGATGTCATGTCGGGCATATATTCTAAATCTTTATCAAGGTCGATCAGCATTTCAACAGAGATAATAGCAAGGACAAAACTTTACTCTCGGTATTCAATTTACTTTTGTCGAAAATTCAGTTTTAAAAATAATTAAATTGAATTTCATTGTTTCAGTGAGCTGAAACGACCTAACACACATGTGAACAGACACTGTTGCTAATTTGACGTTCAAACCTATATTACCTTAAATAGGTAATATCTTCGTCTACCCGCCTTACCAATCCCAACGAACTATCAACCCTCCACTCACCATTATACTATTGCGTCTATACTGTTATTGTTTTCCGTCTGAAGTTCAATCATTTGCGTGTAAGCAAACTACTAAGATAAATTACTGAGTAACTTGATAACTACGTTTATTAGATTCGTCCGAACCATCTTTGTGATTTATCTTGATATCGCAAATTTATTTCCTACCACGCACCAGGTTTTCTATGCATTTTGATATAGTCCACACAAGCCTTGGTTGTTTCCACTCCAATTAGCTATACAGAACCCACGTAGCTTTAAACTGTAGTGAAGTTCATCGGACTAAATACTGTTAATATGGCATCAGAAACCAGACTCATGATATCCGACAGCTTCAGTGGCATTGACGTGACATTAAAATACACGGTTTAAATTCTATGTGTTATTCTCAAACCGACAAAATATTGGCAAAATCATTCGTATAACCAAACTACTAAGTATCTCAGAAGCTCCCATGTCTAGAACTCGTGATACCACTGGGCAAATCATCTTATCATTGGAATTTTCAGTTAATCACGCTTTTTAAAAGAAAGTGAGCCACACAAACTGTATTGCTGACCACCAAGGAAAATCCCTAAAAAGAAATCGCGTCTGACATGCTAATTCAAAAGACTGTTCAAATGCCTGTTACAAATGTTCGTTGTACAAATGATAAACTCTAAAAACCAAATTTTCCCACTGTACAACTGAACACGGAGAATCAACACTTCTGGGATTCCCTCAGTCTTCAGTAATAGGGATAGGAGGTCTATTGACCTATATTAATCCTTGCAGTTTGTAACACTGTGGAGGCACAATGTCGTTTTGAATACATCAACAGGTGCTGATATTACATGTTTCGGTAGTGAATTCCAGTAATTCACTACTCGGTGCGAGAAACAAAACTCCAGACGTTAACGATTTGATCTCGGTTTTTGAACTTTCTTCTAATGTCCTCTCAAATGATCAATCCTAGAAGGAAGTAAAAGAAAAGACCGAGGGCATCGTTCAGTATACGATAAGCCAATATTAGATCACCCTGTATTCTACGATAAGATAACGGAATTAAGTTGAGATGTCTCAGCCTGTCTTCATAAGATAAACCAGATAGACCTTGTACCATCTTGGGACCTCGTCGTTTGACTCGTTCCAGCATATCTGCTTCATACTTGAAACATGGACTCGCTCATTGAACCCCATGTTCTAAATGTGGTCGCACATAAATCGGGTATAATAATCTAAACATTCCATCATCTAACTGCTGGAAAGACCTACGAATAGACCATAATACCCCATAGCATTTCTCAGCAGCAGCCTTACAGTGACTGGTGGTTTTGAGGTCACTGATTAATATGACTCCTAAATCTTTATGGTTTCTTACTTTGGGTAGCACGAATCCACATATTGTATGGCGATACTATTGATTATAATTATTTAATTGCATCACCACACTCTTATTAGGATTTACTTCAAGTGACCACCTGTCCAACCACTGCCACCAATGAGCAAAGATCATCCTGTAATAATTTTCTGTCCGACATATTGTGTATGGGTCTTCAAATTTTTATGTCATCAGCGAAGAGCAGAACGGATGATTTCGCTATAGTTGGTAATTCATTTACATAAAGTAAAAAGAGAAGAGGACCGAGAATTGTACCTTAAGAGACTCCATTTTTTACAGGTATCCACATGAAGAGAGCTCCATTAACCCTGACCCTTTGTCTCCTGTCATCGAGAAAGTTAAATATCCAAATTACGGCTGTATATTGGATTCCAAAATGCTCCAGTTTGAATTTAAGACCAGAATGGGAGACCTTATCGAAGGCCTTACTTAGATCTATGATGATCACATCTACAGGAATATTCCGATCTTTTGCCGCAACCCCATATTCTCTTGCAATGAGAAGATTTGTTAAACATTATAGGCCTCTCCGAAAACCTTGTTGTCTCCTAGTCATAAGTTTATGCCCTACCACATACTTTTTAACAGATATCTGAATTATTTTTTCCATCTATAGCTACTAACTAAATCCCTACTCCCAGCCTTATACATCGGACTTGTTATCGCGTCTTTCCAGTCTCTTCGCAGTCTGGACTGCCTCAGAGACCAGTCAAACAGTATCGCTAAAGGTTCATCAATTAAATCTGATATGGCCTTCATAATCCTAGGATGAATATCATCAGGACCACTGGACTTACCATATTTTAGATGCTCAAGCAGTCCTAAGATATCACATTTCCCAATGACTACAGTGTCCATCAACAACCTGCTACAATCACAATTAATCTTTGGTCGTTCTTTATTACTGATAAAAAACACTTTAATGAAACATTATTATAAAGCTTCAGCTTTTCCGGTGTCATTTCGTGCCAAGATTAACATATTTTCCTGTATCAAAAGTGATGGAATTCCATCGCTTCTTTGAGTTCGCCTTTTTATGTACGAGAATAACCGTTTCGGATTGTATCTACAGTCCCTAACCAATTGTTTTTCATATGATCGTTTAATCCTACTTATTACCGCTTTACAGGAACTGTATTGTAGAGATGAACATATTCCGGTGCTTTTTCCTTCTAAGACTTTTCCTGATTGGTTTTGTTATCCACGATGGACTGTTATTTGGTATGAACGAGGACGTAACTAAACTAAACTTTCCTTTAATTACAGACCATATTCTTCATCTGACAGATCAATCTGTCCTAACAGCGCACTCCTGAATGGCTGATATATTAGGTCATTATACATTTGAGTGAGGTGTAACCTGGTCGAACATCATGTCTCTAGTTCTAAACGTGAATGATAAGCATGCATATTAGCAACAAAACGTTTTTAATAGAAACAATAAATATATATGTATTGGAATACTAAAATAGTTTGCTTTTGTTTTTGACACAATGATCCAAAAAGTCGAGACGAAACAAAGTTTTACGTAAGGTCTTACATTCAGTAGTCGTTTAAGTGTTCTGAAAACCTCACTCTTCCCTCAGAGCACGTTGATTTGGGTCGGTTGTCATTGTTGATTACTGGATGACGTATCGTGATTGAGGTTCGTTCTTGTAACGAAGAAAAGTCGACACGAACATAGTTTCCTTCTAAATATGCGGCTTTGAGATGGTCAGTGCTGGTGCTATCATTAGTTCCGTTCTTATCGATTATATAGCACCTAGAGTCACACTAAAGGACTTTGAACAGTCGTTCTTCCTCCATTTTGAAAGGTTGCCTGTGTAAGAGTCTATATTCATATTCCATGAAGAAGGGAATCGTGGAACAGCTAAAGGATATTTGTTGCGTCTAACCACCTCAGGGTTCTGACAGCTTACAGAATAACTTCTCCACTCCCTTACCTTTCTACTCATGCCAGGCAAGTAAAATCATTCTGCCATGAGCTTGATGGTTGCACGAACAACTGGATGGGAAAGTTTATGCGACGTAATGAAGGCGTTGCGCCGACAATGTTTCTGCACGATTGGAAGATCCCTATCTGTGGATGTGTCGCATAGTAAGGTTTCTTTACCAGTTCACATCCGTTTAATGCTCAATTTTAGGGATACCGAAGACAACACGTGAAGAAGAGCAATACGTTCCTCTTGAAGCTGAGCGAGTTCAAAGTGGGTCCATTTGAACCAAGGTGGACCCCTTGGAATCTGTTCAAGGACGCTATACGAGACAAAGCGTCTGCAACCACATTGCTTGTCCCAGAAATGCGTTGCATATCTGAAGTAAACTGAAAAATATAGAAAAGACAATTATATGAACAAAGAATATCCTTTTCAACAACTCCTCATCACACTTTACAACTGTAAGTCCAAGTTAATAATCCAAAAAATTGGCCGGATTTAAGGCAGAGTGCATCATTTAAAATTGTAAGATGTGAATCAAGAATTGTCTGTTATATAAAATCAAATCGTTAATGTTGGGGCTGACTAATATGAAGTGTTAACTTGAATCAGTTTAAAAGTGAAATGAAATTGTGAGATAAATAATGATCACAACAAACATGGTCAACATGTTGTGAGGGGGGAGAATAATGGAATGAAAATCAGAAATTACCTAATATTTAGGATAAAATAAATTAGGTCAGATATAGTAGATAGTGGTGAATGCTTAATAAACTTCTCAAAAAGTTTGTCAAGCACAATAATACTGATGGTAAAAAATTAATAATGTTTGGGACATAAAAATAAACATTAATCAAATTACGTCACCATAATATAAAATTTATTAACTATTTGGCCCTGAAGTTGGCTTTTTGATCCCAACAGCAATTGCTTCAGCCGTCCGCAAGATTCTCAGTCTGACGGAACTAGGTAGACTGCTGTTAACAAGATATATTATTGCGAAAAACTGCCCTATGTTGGCTGTCTGTTTCGTCTGAATTAAATGGGTTAACATGGAG